ACAGGGAAACTAACCAAAAACTAGATTGTAAAAAACATGTTTTCAGGTTATGTGTCCCAACGTTTCGATTGTATTGACGTTTTCCATCAGTTTTTATTTAGTTCAGATTCTAAATTAAATACGCTAAATAAACGTTCCTTTTACACCTGTTTGAGTAATTTTCGCAAAATGTACTGATTTTTTTGTATATAATATCTTTAAAGAAAATTGAAAGGCCTTTTCAATGATATAGGACAACGGAAACTTGAGAGTTACGGATTTGGACGATTACGTTAAGGAAAAGACTTTTTAGCTTGTCGGCAGACGACGTCCCGTATATACGAAAGGACCTTAGCTATTGAGATCATTGCGGATTATTTCCCGCAGATATCCGCTTGACAGGGCGACTAATAAATATGGAATAATAAATAAATATTCCCTCTTTCTTTATGGACCTCGTAAATATTTCTCAAAACAGCTCACGTCTGTCAAGTGCCGCCGTGCCGTCCCGATCCGCGTCCACGGGACTATTTATCAATACGCTGACGTCTTGAAAAAGTTTTCAAGTCAATATTCGATTTTGTCTCGTTTGTCTTTATTATAGCGCGGCCGTGCGAAGGTTAAGATCACGTGTGGCCAATTTTCTCGCCTACTTTTCCGATACCGTCGGGCCGAGACCCAACCCAAACAAAGCGGGCTTCGACTCACGAGACGAAAACGTTCGAAAAATAGATTCCGCGCGGATTTTTTTGGTCGTCGGACGTTGCATAAGGTCCCGCGACGGCAGCGTCGCGACACCGCTCTCAGATTTAATGCCGTATTTCCAGCGTCCGTCTGACTGCCGTGCCAAATTTGCGAATGTAAATGCGAAACAAATGTTGCATTGTCCGCGACGCAGTTGTCGCATATGCACCGTATACGGGGCCGTCGGAAACGTCGCTTGGTGTTGCCTCGGTATAACGAATATGTTTTCGTAAACATCGCACGTTCTGTACAAAGTGTTCAATACCGAAAAGAATAATAATAAAATTGTTGTACGCCACTGAAAATTTCTAAGGTATATTTTTTCTATAGATAATCTAGTTATTTTTGCACAAAAGTGCCGTTTTGCGTTTTTCCTGTTCATCGTTCTTTATTATTATTATTTATTAAATTTTACTATTTCTTCCTGTTTCATCAGGTGTACCGCAAGGTTCTGTCCTTGGACCTATTCTTAATTTATGTCCCTATTTTACTCGTTCGACCCAAAATATTTGATATTGCTTCAATTTATATCAATTTGGAAAATGCAGGGTAATGTTTTTTTCTCCTAAATCTAGCATTGAACAAGTATCCCCAATATATTTATTAATTAACGGTGAACATATGAAAATATAGATGGCAAAAAATTCAAAACGGCTGTTGCAGATTTATTTTCGGCTTGAACGGTGCAGAGCATTTACCTGAAAAAATATCAGTGGTTTGCCATTTTTTTCTTCAACAATAAACGAGACAAATCACCGAAGGACGCCGCTGGTAGAAATTTTAAAAAATGTCGCACACCTGAAAATACATTTATTAATTTGTATAAAGATACAATGAAAACTCTCTATAGCGAAACTCTGTATTATGAACAAAATTTGTTGTACTATTAGGTCTCCATACAAAGCTATGTATTAATCCACTCTGTATAACGAATATCTCAATCTCTATACCGAAAGAAAAAAGGGCACATCAAGTAACAAAGCAAGGAATGACTTAGTGAAGAAGGCGAGCTTGGCAAGTAAGCGAAAAATTTCATCTCTAGATGATAAAGTTGCTTTAATTCGGGAGATTGAACGGGGAGAAAAGAAAAGTGATGTGGGACGTCGATACGGACTTACGCCGTCGATTGTATCCACGATTTGGAAGTGCAAAGAAAAAATCATTCATGCTGAAGCGACAGGCAGTTCTAGTAAAAAACTAAGAAAGCCGACAACGGTTTCAACAGCAACGTCTTAAAAATGTTCCGCTCTCTGGACCTATCGTAAAACTAAAAGCAGAAAAGTTTGCTGAACTGCTTGGCATTATCGATTTCACGGCTTCGGAAGGGTGGTTGAGGAAGTTCAAACAGAAACATGGTATAATTTAGGGATAGATAAGTGGCAAAGCTTGTGATGTCGACAGAAACATCACTAACGATTGGCTGGAGAAGACGTGGCCAAAGCTAGCAGAAAAGTACCCTGCTGGAGATGTTTTTCATTCTAACGCCAGATAAAACTCTTAAATTTTTTAGGCAAAAAGTGTGTGGGTGGAAAACTTTCTAAAGAACGTATAACAGTGTTAGTGGCTGCCAATATCGGCGGGGAGAGAAAAAAGAAAGCTAGTCGTTATTGGAAAATCAACTAACCCACCCCCAAGCATTTGCCGGTCACTTACAAGGCAAACAAGTCTGCATCGCAAATTTTTAAATAGGAGATACGGAAATGGGATGCAGAATTAAAGGAGAGGAAAATATTACTTCTCTTAGATAACTGCCCTGCACATCCCCATATTCCAAATTTACGGAATATTGAATTGGCATTTCTTCCAGCCAAAACAAGTATATTACAGCCGATGGGCCAGAGCGTAATAAAAAGTCTTAAGAGTCGATACAGGAAGAACATTTTAATCGAAATAATCGAGTCCGAAGACAAATTTTCCATTAATATGCTAAATGCAGTCAACTTTATTAGTAAAGTTTGGAAAGAGGTGACAGCAGACACAATTCAACACTCCTTTCGTCATGCAGGACTTATTACCGAGACAGAATGCGAACAGGACTCGGAAGATGATCAGCGACTAAGCGAGTGGGTAAAACAGTTTCAAACAACAATTACGTCTACAAGTGAGGGCTTGCAAGATTTTATGATGATAGATCGGGATTTGCCTACAACAGCGGACTTGACAGAGGAAGCCATATTACAACAAGCAAGAAAGGGTGAGGAAGAGCACCAAGAGGAAGAAGAAGATGAAGAAGTTGATCTGGGACCACCACCAACCATTCAACAAGCCCTGTATTGAGTTAAGCTGCTAGAGAAATTTTATATATATATATATAATGGGGATGTTGCACCTCTCGAAAAAATGCTGAAATTACAAGCCAAATTACGAGATGCGATGCGTAACTCTTTATAACGAGAAAAATAGAATATCCACTGTATTTGGAACCGTGCCTTTGGATAATGTAACTGTAATTTAAAAGCTAAGGCGTTCATATGCAGTACCAGTTAACATTTGATTGTACCGTGTACAATATCCCAAAAACCGTAGAACTAAAAAAAAAACGCAATTGTCAGTTTTCTCGCAACAAACGATGCAAACCATCCGGAGTTTAGGCAATTTTTTCAATTAGATAAATTTCTTTTTTAGCGGTCGCGTTATTTGTTTATACTCAAAATCACCGGGAAGTACTCTGGCGGGCGGCTCCAAAACTCGATCGATCAATTATTCCGACGGGATTTTCGATAACGCTCCTCTTCGAAAAATTACCCGTGTCCGCGAGCAGTTGCGGCGGTTGGGGAAACTCCCATCGTATCGTAAATAATTTCGAACAGAAAACTTTTAAGTGATACGGGCGACAAACGTGGTTTTTCCTAGCCGATCGACCGTCAGCTGTGGTTCACACCACACAACGTCACCCATTCCCCTCCCATCGGCGCGACGTTGCCACGGTGCGTCCCTTAATCGAAGGGGGCATCTGTCTACAGCATATTAATTTTCTAACGGTGCCGCTCAATCAGAACGCGGTGGCAAGTTCCGACCATGGCGCCAAATTTAAACTGAGTCGGTCAGACAATGCGTTCATAATAATTTTATTAGTGTTTTAGGGTGAATAGCGATATACAATAAATAAAATTATACATCTTATATTCTAGAATTTAGTTTTTGCTATTATTAATAATAATGTCGCTATTAATTAATAAAAAAATATAGAAGTAAATGGAAGTGTACAGCTATATTCAAGTCGATATTAATATAATAATAAATTAATTATTTAATTAATTAAATTAATAACAATTATTAATATTAATGAATGTTCTCCTTATTTGACTAATACTTTTGTCTCAATTTGCTTGTTTCAGGATTTTTTTGTGAAGCCTCAATTATCCTTTGGTTCGAAAGGCCTTCAATTAATTTTTGAACAATTATCTCTAAAAATGACTGTCTATGTGCTCCAATTTGTTGTTGATATTTTCTTCGAACTATGTAACTGTTTGAATAAGTATGATATGGAAAAAAAAGTCTTGTTGAGATACTCGGAAATGCTAAGCCACGAAATTGGTAAGTCAGCTTACCCCCCCCCCCAAAAAAAAGAAATATCATATCGTAAACTATCAAAACAAAAGGAATAAACTTATTTTTCCAGTTCCACAATACTTGAGGTGCTAAAATTAACAGAATGCTTCAACAGCTCGCAGCTGGTTCTCGATTTCGAAAAATAATTAATAAAACAATTGCGAATAAAGCGCGCTTCCTTTCAAATAGGTGATGTTGCCTTCTGAGTGGTTCGGCACCGTTAGAAAATTAAACGTCGGATTTTTCGCGTTACCACGGCAACGTCGTGCCTTCCCCGGTTGTCCGCGTCGCGCGCCCTCTCCGCGCTATTCCCCGCGGGCCCGCACGCTCACGCTACGTCACACCCTTCCGTATATATAGCGGCGGCGTTCGCGTTCGAAAGCTTTACTCTGCCGCGAGTCGAAAGACGAGTGAGTGGAGCGGTACGGTTTGGCCTTTAAGCGCTAGACCCCCCGCGCGCGCGTCAGCCTTCGCACGAAGAAAAAGTTTCGTTGGTTTTCGCGCAACGATCTAGTCATCGCGACGCAAAGCACTCTATGATAATAATAATAATAACGATTAAGGATTAAGAAGCGTGCAGTGGTGTTTGTGGATGCGAGTGTCGTGCGTACGTTCTTTCGAAACGGCCCCAAAATAGCGATCTTCGGGTTCTCGAGGTCGAACGTGGCGGACGGGAAAATGGTGGGTTCGAACGGCACCATGATCGCAATCCGTCTTGTTCGCAGCAAGCTCCGTAAACGCGAGGAGCACAGCAATTCCGTTCATCCGGTCGGCGAGCCGGCCACCACCGTGGTCCTCCAGGCAACTGCAACGGTTACCCCGAACGGAACCGCGGCTGTGGTGCCGCCGCCGCCGCCTCCCGCTAACAATAACTCCGCCGCCGTCGTCGTCGCCCAGAACAACGACCCTCTGGCCTATCGAGGCATGTTCCTGTGGCAGTTCCCGCCGCCGCCGCCCCAGACCCAGTACTTGTACAACAACGAACAGGTAGGTCGACCGTTGGTGATGCGCGTCGACGAGGTCGCCGCGCGCACGGTATCGTCGCGTGCCGATTCGCAAGGTTCTTTTTTTTTCCTATCGCGCGGTCGAAATTTCGAGAGAAAACTCGTTTCGTAATCGGGTGCCCGCGAAAAAAATTTCTCTTCGCCAAGAGAAAGCGGAACGGGATTCGTAACGGTTTTTGCATCATTTTTCGGCCCCGTTTCGGGGATTGCTACGCAGCGCGGATCGTTCCACGTGTTTTTTTTCTGCGAACCGCCTTTCGGTCAGATTCCGGACCGGACGTGAACAGATAGTTCCAATAAATATACCTACCATACACGCCACAACATGCGGCCATCTTTCGTTGTTGGAGCGGAGTATTTTTTTTTAAGCCGTCGGTAAAACAGTGCGTGACAGTATCGCCGTCAATTTTTTTGTGGTCCACCACGGTTTGGAGGTTGGTCTTTCGTATAGACGGTCAAGACTGTGTGAAAATCGTAGCGCGTTTGTTAGTTGGTTGGACGGTTATTATTTCGAAACGACGCGTAAGTGATCTGCGGTTATATTGCGAGAATATCGATAGCGTCGAACTATGCAACCAGTCGTACGCTCGGTGGCCCAAAAGTTTTTTTTTTTTTGCTTTATTTTGGATCGACGCGAACCGCCAAGGCCGGAGTTTGAAGACCTCCGAGTTCTTCCGTTCGCGCACGCGTTTTCCTTGAAAATTCGGCTACATCAGCTACGCGGACGCGCGCGAAAGGTCATCGACCGTCCCCAGATAGGAAAAAGGGGTCGAAGGCCGTCCGGAAGTCACGATGTTAACGCATCTCTTTGTGTTGCAGAACAATATTGTGCAAAAAGCGGTGGCGGAACGTCCCGGATTCGTCCGGGGATTCAGAAAGAACCTGGGCGGACGCTGGAGGAGGCTGGTGAAGAGGAAGGCGCCCGCGGACGTGTACACGATCCCCGCGGAACTGAAGCCTCAGCTGAAGCAGATCTACGTCTACTGAAGCCGGGACCGCGTGTCTTTATCGGCGCCATTGAGACTGACTTATTGTTAATTTTGTATAGAAGCCGACGCGGCGGAGTTTGTACGTTTAGGTTTTTGAGACTCAGTGATTTTGGTTTGTAGTCTCGGTCGAGCGGTATTTTGGCTCACATTGAGCCCCACAACCTTATACGGTCGACGTTGTTCGTTTTCGGCGCAGTCTCCGCAAACCTAGTCAAATTAAAATGTTGAAAACGACAAGAGTAGGAACACCTCTTTCTTTCCAGTATTACGATTTATTATGTAACGTTGAACTTATTGATTACTTCCGATTTGATTTATAATAATAATAAACGCAACAACTTTCTCGGCGGAGTCCGTCGAAATTGGTTTTTTGTCGGAGATGACCACTCCCGCTCCTGGAGCCCGATTCGGACGATTAGTGTTGTCGCGACAATCATTTTACTAAGCAATATTAACGTGTACATAGTGTCCTGTAATATATTGTTATTTTTGAATATGCAGATCTTATTCTTGCCATCCCTCCTATGCGATTCCTTAAACGGTAGTAATCTTAACTGCCACCAGCGCCATGTAGAAGCCAAGTTCCTGACCAGAATTGGGTCTCGTGATCTCACAGCCATCTATCGGTGGGAAGCTGAACTCGACTGTTCCGAGCATGATACTTGAGCTAGTCACTAACAGATGGCAGCACTTACACTCCGCGCATATTCCGCAACCCGGAATTATCATTTGCCTCCCGGTTTCAAAAACTGTATCAATCAAGGCACTACTAAAGTTAATGTAAAGTGCAAAATTTCGTGAAAAATTGCAATCAAATCTCGGTAATTTTCATAAAACGTAGCGGCAACATTGCTAAAAAATTTTGGCGAGCGCAAATTTTGCGAAGCAAAAAATCTCTTGAATTTAGGAAATTTCGCAAGATATGGCAACGCCTCTTGAAATTTCGATCCGCGTGTGTAATATTTAAAAATCTAGGGAATTTTATCAAGAAGAAGTGGCAACACCGCTTGAAAATTTTGACCAGCGCGAATCTCGCAAAACGAATTTTTTTTAAAATTTAGGAAGTTTTGAACATTCTGGCAACATCGCACGAAAAATCGATCAAGTGGGGAAGCAATTTAAAAATCTGGGGAATTTTTCCAAAAAGCGGCGGCAACACCGTACGAAAAATTTTCCAAATGCAAATTTTGCAAAACCGAAAGTCATTTTAATATAGGAAATTTTGAACAGTCTGGCAACGTCGCACGAAAAATCGGTTCACGGGGATGCGATTTAAAAATCTGGGGAATTTTGCCAAAAAGAAGCGGCAACACCGCGCGAAAAATATCCCGAATGCAAATTTAGCAAAACAAAAAGTGTTTTGAATTTAGGAAATTTTGCACAATATGACAACGCCGCTTCAAATTTCGCTCTTCGTGAATGTATTATAAAAATCTAGGGAATTTTGGCAAGAAGTAGTGGCAACACCGCTCGAAAATTTTTCCGAGCGAGAATGTTGCAAAACCAAAATTCTTTAAAATTTAGGAAATTTTGAATATTCTGGCAACATCGCACGAAAAAATCGGTCCGCGGGAAAGCAATTTAAAAATCTGGGGAATTTTGCCAAAATGAAACGGCAACACCGCAAGAGAATATTGACGAGCCCAAATGTTGCAAAACCAAAATTCTTTAGTTATTAGGAAATTTAGCACAATCCGTCACCGCCGCTTCGATTTTCCATACGGGCGAGTGTGATATAAAAATCTACGGAATTATGCAAAGAAGTAATGGCAAGAAAAATTTGACTAGTGCAAAATTTTAGAATTTTGGACATTCTGTTCGGTTCTCTGCTGGATTTGTGCATAAATGAAAAACGCCGATAAAATATTTCAGGTAAATTTATTGAAGTAAACAATTTTACATTTGTAAATCAAATTACATTCTAATTTTTCTCGCTTGTTGGGGTCTAGCAAAAGGTTAACCTACGAAGAGAAAAAAAAACGAAATTAATACAAAGATCGAGGTACGTACAATGGATTTCATATATTAGTATAGAAGATCTGAAATTATGCATCGACGAAATTAACGAGAGGCGGAGGGAAAGGGGCCGAAGCCACACCGCGGAACGCTCTTAGTCGAATGGGGCCCTAATAGCTCCAAACCGAACACGCTCTCTGGCATCTCTCAAAGGACCCCGGCCTGCGGGTTCCCCGAGGAAGCCGCGTTTGGTCCCCCTTTTAGTTCTCCGTCGCCGCACGGCAAATTCCTCGGGTTTCGGAGACGGATGCCGCCCCTTTTCGGTGAAAGGCGGAAGGCTAAACGGGTTATACGCGCAGCCCTCAAAAAAAAAAAATCTTCCCAGACGGAAACCGAGCTAAAAAAAATCACGTACCCCAAAACGGGGGACGGACATCCGTTATAGCTGGCACCAGCGGCGGGCCGGACCTAATTACAAAGCGCGTTTAATCCGCGCGACCGCCATTTTTCACGGGACGCGTCTAATACTCTAATCGTATGCGGCCGATTACCATATTTTCAATTTATCTCGGCCGTTCCCTTCAATTTTCTTCTAATAACTACGGCTCGAAGTCGCCCTAGTTTACTACGTAGCTGTCGCGCGGAACTACTGGATGGACAAAAACAAATAATGTTCGAGAATAAATAGAACGAAGAAGTAATAAAAAAAAACCGTCCAGAACCGGCGGGAGCGGGTCGAGTCTCCCAGGCGCCACGTCCACCTTTCGCGAGAAGTGAACCGGTAAAAAGTACCCGTTTCCGCGCACCTGTACCGCGTGGCAACGTCGCGCGCGCCGAGCCTGCGCGTTCCCGCCGTCTTTCGTGCCGGCGCCGCCGCCGCCGCCGCCACCGCCAGTCTTTAACCGACGCGCGGGGACATCGGACGCAAGCGACGGCCGAGACGCGAAACATCGCGCATCCCCCTCCCCAGCCCGAAACCGACCCCATGGCCGCTTCTAATATCGTCACCGAGTGGTTAAAGTCGCTGCGGCTCGGCCAATACGCCGAGAGTTTCATCGACAACGGCTACGACGACCTGGAGATATGCAAGCAGGTCGGCGACCCCGACTTGGACGCGATCGGGGTGTTCAACCCGGTGCACCGGGCCCGTCTCCTCCAAAGCGTGAGGACGCTCCGCGAGGAGGGGGCCGCGAGCGTATATTTTAGCCTCGAGGAGGGCGTCCAGGTGGCTTCTTCGGCCGCGGCCGGTGGTGACGAGTGTTTTTGTGTCGCGGAAGACGGAGACGGCGGGTGCGCGTCCAAGACGTCGTCCGACAAACAGGACCGGGCGTCGTGTTCGTCGGGCGGCGGAGGCGACGACGTCGCCAAATATCTCGACGAGTACGAGGAGGGCAAAGCGGAGCTGGTTAAGATACCGAGGATGCAGCTCAAGGTGCTGCTGAGGGAAAAACTGCAGCAGGACGGGATCCGGCTCAGTTGTCAGCCCTATTCCACGCAGGTAACGAAGCCCGTTTTTTCGTCACGATTAATATGTGTATATATGACCGGGAGGAAAGCCGAGATGTTTACCTTCTCCGTCGCCGTGATGTTTACTCGACGCGATGCATCTGTGTGTGTAGGCGTGCGCCTGGAATTTTATGGATAAACGCGGAAGCAAACGTTAATCTACGCTGGCAATGGACAAAATGTTTAATAACGAAGTATTTATGAATGGACGCCGAAAAAAAGTATATTTTCCCTTGTTGCGTACCCACACTTGACGTTGTCCGATGGATCATCTCCACCAACTTTTCAAATATCGCCATCGATCGGTTAACCCTCGCCGATATTCCACTTTCACGTGGATTTTTTTTTTAAATAGAATCGTCGTCAATAATTAAACCCACCTCCGCGATAACAATCAATGGCACCCAATCGTTGGCGACATATCGAACAAAGAATGCGAAGCATTGATGAAAAAAACTTATTTTTATTTTGTCGAGATTGCCCATTTTTCATCATAACACACTACAAACATTTTATATATATTTTGTACTGTTATCAACACATCCCAAACGTTTTGTGCCACTTTGAACGCATTTTGCAAAATATCCTACACATTTCATACCCTTATCAACACGTTAAAAAAATACGTCACTTTAGAGCCTCTTACACACGCTTAAAACTATTGAAATAACGTTTCCGTGCTTTTTCTAAGTCGTATTACACATTTCAAAGTTTACAAACATTGGTCCCATATTTCGCATACCTTTGTAGCCCTTCTTTTAAATTTTGCAATGTCGCAAGTTTCACATTGTTGTCAAAACATTGCAGACAATTTCGATACATTTCACGCTCATTTCATTCAACTTTAGATATTTTCTAACAAGTTTTGCTAGTCTCGCCAACGCATTGAAGACGTTTTTGACACATTTCACACTCCCATCAACACAATGCAGAAATTTTCGACACATTTCTCGCTCTCTTCATTCAATTTCAAACATTTTCTACAAATTTCACACTTCCAATGCCATAATGCAGAAATTTTCGATATATTTTACACTCTCTTCATTCAATTTCAAACATTTTCTACAAATTTCACACTTCCATTGCAACAATGCAGAAATTTTCGATATATTTCGCACTCTCTTCATTCAATTTCAAACACAATGCAGAAATTTTCGATACATTTCGCAATCGCTTCATTGAATTTCAAACATTTTCTACAAATTTCACACTTCCATTGTCACTATATAAGAATTTTCGATACATGTCGCACTCTCTTCATTTAATTTCAAACATTTTCTACAAATTTCACACTCTTATCAACGACGTATTGGGGGCACTTTTTGCGCGTTTCCCACACGTAATCGTGTGTTAACGCAGAAAACCGAAAGCCGGTCAAATAAAACAACACGATACCACCGGCAACAACCTGTCGCCGCTCTCGCCTCTAATCGCCCGGCCGATGACTCGGCAGTATATCTATTTCGAGCCCGAAATAAAAAAAAAAACACCACACCAACGCGCGCACACATACACACCCCTCGTGCCCCGGTCTACCAGAGGCGATCGAAAACTCCGCAACAGGTGACGTTAATCGAGAAAAAGGCAACGCCGCCGGATAGCCACCAAGAGCCAAACCAATAATTGGGCGGTCTTGGATGCCCTTCGCCCCGTCCCAGGGCTTTTCGCGTGGTAGGTACAACTCAAACCGCAACCGTGCCCATTATATTATATCCCGCCCTTTCAACGGCAACAATTACGTAATTACGCCCCGCCTAATGGACCTATCAACATTAGGAATAACCTATTATGCCGTTAATTACGCAACGACCATAATAGATTAATCGGCACCCAAACAGATAATCTCAGTCAGATCTTGGACGCACACACACAGACATATATATAATAGCAATTTCAGAACGTGCTGACTTGCGAGACGACCTCCCTCCAGCCCCACCACCTCTTGCACAATTTAGAGCACCTGAAGTTGCTGCTCTAATTGTACACGGTTACTTTGCTAATTTTCTAGCGTACTTTCGTTTGTCCCAAATTATAACTAAACCCATCAGGATAACAGGTAACTCTCAAACACTGATAGACCTGATTGTGTGAATGTCAGTATTTGTGATTCCGAAGTTCTGCAAGTTTTTCTACTTCCAGAAATTTTCGAAACTCAGATCGGACCGTCTTGTTGGAGTTTTTGCAGAGAGTGGATTGGGTTCACATCTACAGTCTTAGTAACGTTGACGACATGGTTGAGTTGTGCTTGTGCCCCTTCTAGCACCATAATGCTTATGCAAAATTTAAACAGACAAGAACGGTTGGGCACTGGGAACACAACAAGACTCTCCTCAACAATACTGCTATTATTATGAAGAGAGGACAAGTCTTGATTCGACTGGTACTAATTTGCCTGAGCTCCTCGCTGATCTTGACTCTATTAACGTCACTGTCTAAAATTCTCAACAGCAGACCCTGGCTGAGGAATATGTCAAAAAATAGGGATTCTAAATTCGTTAAAGAGCAATGCTGTTGGTTGGAATTGTCTCCCTGTAAATGATGATGTTGAGCATGGAAGTTAGCTAGTTAGGAAGTCCCCAGTTCAAAATTAATGAAATGGGTGGTTATTTAGGCTGGATGAGCTCCAAAATCCATACTAAGTCATTTCCTAAATAAAAATAATTGCTGTATATGGATGATTAGAAATTATACACCAGAGGAAGAGAGCCTTTCCAGAACCTCTTGGAAATGGTGACTTCTTTTTCTATATAGATGGAGTTGGGCTCTATCGGGAACTCTAAATACTACACGTGCAAGCCACAAACCACACATAATCAAAATACAAAATCGCCTGGAGTATAAGCATACACACTGACCGCACAGTACCGAATAACAAATCTGATATTCTGGTACTTGGTAATCGATATCGTTATCGATATCGCCATTTCAGTGGATAAAAGCATCCAGAAAGCTACCCACCGAAAGTAAGAAAGTACCATAGTCATACAGCTAAAATTTACCTAATCATCTCCGGCTGTTTAGTGCTTCAAGCTCAACGAATATCTATATATATATATATATATATATATATATATATATATATATATATATATATATATATATATATATATATATATATATATATATATATATATATATATATATATATATATATATATATATATATATATTCTTGTTCAGGCGAAGGACGTGCATAACTTCGGTGAAAATCCGGTCCAGACGATATCCTGTAAAAAAATAGAAAACAAAAATAATAATAAAGTCTTTTATTTCACATTTAGGGGAAAATAATAAGCTAACAAAAAAAACGGTATCTGTTCTTTCCTGTAATAAAAAAAAAGAATGTAGACTGCGCCATATGCACAAACAATTTATAATACAAAAGAACCACTGTTCATCGTCGTACCTACACATTTTTAAATGTAATTTTGTCTTATTTATAGTTTACAATGAGAAAATGAGAATGAACATGAGAATTAATTACGAGCTTGTGTTATAAAATACAAATCTACTACTGATCCCTTGTCCTAGTGCGTGTGTCAAAAAATACATTTTTTTGTCGAATTTTGAGAATATGCTGTAAATGTAGTTTGCTAATTTTGAATATGGTCTATAACTAAAAAATGTGTGCAAACCACAAACTTAGATTAAAGATTCTCTAATGGAAACTGATTAAAAAATAGATTTAATCTGATAGGACAAAAATCTTTTTGTGACTCGACTCAAACTTAAAGGAGAATAAATTAAGCGTATTTTTTTCAAATCTTATAAATACATTTTTCCATTGCGCTGTCAGTTAGTTATAAACGAAATTTCAATACATGGTATATTTCCATAGCAACGCAACGTATCAAAAAATCGCCATACATTATATCGAATTTTTCGCCGCCTAGCATTCACACCCGACTCATCGTTGCAAAAAAAGGACTTCGACAAATATCAAAAAACCGGCCCACAGGAAAACCCTAGACATTTTTATATCTATTTAATTTTTTTTTTTTTGCTTTGTCGATTGCGCAGATTACGATAGCACAGACAGTGCTATCGCAATGAATTATTTTTTATTTCGCATGAATTACATACCAAAATAACGGAAACATACCAAATTTGCTGACAAATAAATATTCGGACGCGAATGTTTATTGACCAAGAAATCAATGCTACTCATGCACTGATGGTAAAATGTAGTGTGCTTTGATAAATGAAATGTCAGTTCGCTTTGTTTCTTTCAAGTTTGTATAATGGTTGATAAGAAAATGACGCGTGGTGTTGCAAGAAACAAAAAAGTACGAGAAATTATCATATCCCAGTACTGCAGAGGTTAATCAATGCAAAAAAATTCAAATGACTTGAGTGTTGCAAAATCAACAGTCGGGGATATATAAGTCTGGTTTGAGTTTTCAGAAGGTAAGTTTACAAAATCAATATTAACGTCTATTCAGAAGAAAAAACGTTTGGATTGGGCAAAATCTAAAACATCCTGGACAACGGGAACGTGGAGTAACGTTGTCTTCAACGACGAATCAAAATTTGATGTGTGTAGGCGATTTTCGAGGAAGGGTGATTCGTACAAAATCACAAAGGTTGTCTAAAGCGCACGGTAAAATTTCCCCTGGGTGTTGTGATATGTGTATGAATGGTAAAGGGGATGGCAACTACGAGTTCATTGATGGTACTATAAATGCAGAAAAATACCAACAAATTTTATCAAGTATGATTCCATCAATAGAAGAACTTTTGGAAACGAAAATTTTATATTTCAACAAGACGGTGCGTGGGCGGGAAAGTGGTTTGAGGGCCATAATATGAAATTGAATGAATATTGAAACTTATGGCATCGGATGAAAAAGACTTTGCGTAACAATCCTCAGCGTAAAGGCAAAAATCACCGAAATTTGGAACACTTTCACCCCGAATATTGCAAGACTTTGGTAGATTTCATGCCAAAACGCATAAAAGCTGATATTGTCCCGATAGGTGATGTTACTTCTT